CTCAGAATACTCTCCAGAGATCATTAAACACTCTAAGAAATAAAAATATTTCCCTCCCGCCCCCCTCCTGCCAGCCTGTTGACAGTCGAGGATTCAGACCAATTGGCTCTATCTCTGCATCTCATTTTTCAGTCTTTGAAGGTGATACTTCTCTGGATCATTTGAGGTGATTTTGTTCTCCTTGCAGGTGTGGGAGCCACTTCAGGGGTCTCTGCCAACTTCCCCAGCACCTCTGGCAGCAGCACCCTGTCTCCCTTCCAGCATGCCCATAAAGGTAAGGGGGTGCTCAGATATTGATCTTCTGGAGTTCAGGGGGCTGGGATGAAAGTCAAGAGGAAGAGAGGAAATAATTATTAGTAATGATGATGGAGCTCTTCCCCACTTGAAATCACTTCCCTGGTGTGAGTGAACCATGCTGGGTGCCCCTGTGGCTGGAAGTGAGTAATTATCTCTGCTGGGAGGGGACCGATCGATCGCTCTGTGGGTGTCCTTGCCTGGCCGCTGGCCCTGCTGTGAACTCACTCAGAGCCTGAGCGGGAGGCTCCACTAGGATGCATGAATCTCATCCCTCCTGGGCCCGGGGAGTAGCACGCAAGACAGAGAATATTACAGCACTTACGTCATCCATACCTGGCATCCAAAGGGTGTTGCAGATGCTCCCAGATGACGCTGGGAGACCAGCTTTGCTGCAGACATACCTGGTGCCTGGGAGGCTCACTCTGGAGTGGGTGGGTCCTTAGCTCTGCAGTCCCTCAGGTGATCTCAGGTGGTCCGGGAGCTTCAGATGCTTGCCACCTGGGTTCTGCTTCAGGAGAACCAGGGTCCTGTTTGGTTATTTTAGAACAAGCTTCAAGGCATTGTAGCATTAATCAGGGAAGTTAGCAAAATCCCCCAGGGTGAGCGGGCCTGCCACCGTGGGGGTGGCGGAGCAGGAGGAGGAGGAAGCCACCCAGGCACCACCTGGGCCCTGGGACTCTTGCTACTACACTCAGGTTGAAATAGCATGAGGCACAAGCCGAGCCTGGCCAGGAGCCCAATCTCTGGCCCTAGGGCTTGACTTTTGCATCCTGACTTTTGCTCCGAAATGCCCACGCTTACACCGTGCTGTCCTGAGCACACTCGTGCAGGTGGGCCTCTCCCTCTCCACACCCTGCCTTGCCCTCAGGTTCCCAAAGTAGCAGAACCGAGAGCACACGCCCCAGGGGCAATCCGGCCCCGACATTCCAGAGCAGTCTGGATGAGCGGACAGGCGGCCTGATCTGGCACCAGAGCCAACTCCTGATCCCACCGTCCCCTGGAAGTGTCCCGGTGGCAGGGCGTTGCTTCCAGGGCCGCGGCCACTCACGCCTCTCTCTCCTGACGCCAGCAGAGCTCTCGGGCCAGGGACATCTGGCCACTGCCCTGATCATCGCCATGTCCACCATCTTCATCATGGCCATTGCCATCGTGCTCATCATCACGTTCTACATGGTGAAGACGAAGCCCGCCACCCCGGGTGAGCCCCGCACTCCTCCCGTGGGCGCTGCAGCTGTGGCAGGGCCCGCTGCTGACCCCTTCTCTCTCTCCACCCAGCCTGCTGCACCAGCCACCTGGGCAAGGGCGTGGAAGCCCCCGCGAGCAAGGACGAGGAGAAGAAAGAGGCCCCAGGTGTGCACGCCCGGCGCCCCCTCGCCGCTGCCCCGCAGCCCGGCCTCCTGACTTTCCGCTCTCGGGCTGCTTAGAAGGGGGCCGGTGCACCCACGTCGTGCTGTCCCCAGACAGCTCTGCCAAAGGTGGGGGGGGCGGCTCAGAGCCACCAGCCGATCCTAACTCCTCCTTCCCCCTCCTTCCCACTTCCCTGCAGACAACGTGGTGATTTTCTCTGAGAAGGATGAATTCGAGAAGCTGACAGCAGCTCCAGCCAAGACCACCAAGAGGTACGCGGAGCCGAGGCAGGCGCCTACGGCAGGGCGGGGCAGCCCCCGGCCAGGCTGACACGGGCGTCCTCGCAGAGGCCGAGCAGGACCCGGAGAAGCGGGTGCCCGGCCTGGGGGCTGCGCTGGGCGGCCGGGTCGCTTGGGGGCCGCTCACCCCCAGAGGCAATCCCAGCCAGCGCCAGGATTCAGCCTTGTTGTTGACCAGCACAGACCAGGTGGTGTGAGGGTGGGGTAGAGCCTGTCCTCTGCTCCCTGGTCAGGCCCTCCTCCCTGGGGCCTCCCAGATGCCCTGGGCCTTCCGCCTTCCCCTTCTCCCAGCCATGCCAGGAGAACACAAAGCCAAGGACGGTACAACCTGGTAATAATGATGGTGATGATGGCTAACTAATATTTGGTGCTTATTGCCAGCCAGGTGCTGTGCCAGGCCCCGACTCTATGGGCAGTGTGCTGATATCATTCATCCCTGTTTGTAAGATACCAAACTGAGGTTTGCAAGTTGTCACTCACCCAAGACCACACACTAGCGAGCAGCTGGGCTGGGGTCCGGGCTGGGGTCCGGGCTGGGCTCCTGATGATGGACTAAAGCAGAGCCAGGGATTAGGGGTATAACAAGGCCTTTGAGGAAGCCTGACATAGGAAACCTTTACCATATTTACCACACATCGGGGCATGGAATCAGCCCCTGCTTTAAAATCTAGAGTGGAGGGAAATGAACTTTTTATTGTCCCCATTTGATGGTGGTTTGGATGTGGTCCTGCTGAAGTTCCAAACTCAGCCGCACGGCCTGGGTGCCCAGTGCCTGGTGCACCAGAAGATCCCCACCCACCCTTTCCAGTTGAGGCACAGAGGCCATGAGAGGGTCACCAAACGGGTACAGGAAGAGCATAGGTTAAACACTCCTCTCCTGATCCCCACCCATGATCTCCCCATGATGCACGAACTCTTGCAAAGACTTTCCTGTTTACGAATAATAATCCAAGCATCCGTGTAGAGTGTTGACATTTGCAAAGCACTGCCAAATGCACTGTCTCATTTAGAAAACTCTAGTGTCTCTCAACATCCCTGACACAAGGGCAGGAAACAAACTTTAATCATGAAATCTTTGCATATTAGGAAA